ATGTGTAACACCCCACCTCTCTGGGTATGCCAAGTGGAGCGGGGCTTGGTTACTGAATCCAGAGGTTCCCCAACCTCAGAGAGCTCTGTCCCCATTGGCTGTTCACCCCGGGTTGCTTCTGCAGTTGTGTCCGACAGAAGCTACAGGGTCAAAGGTCAAGGTTGAAGTTTCCCCACTCTAACATTTCCACATGTGGAAATCAGTGTTAATTTCATAGATGAACACTATGACAAAAGTTATTCAACAAAGCAATTTTTTAACTGATGAAAATGAGATAATAAAATAAAATAAAAAAATTGGTTCCCGGCCCCCAAAAATTACACCTGAATATATGTTTTTTTTTAGCATTTAAACACAACATGAATCGGATAAAACAAGAAGAGCATATACTGTACTAAACACATCAAAGCACATTTATCAAAACAGTAATTTGTAAAGTAAGAAAATAAATGTATCCAAACAATGTGTAAAGTTAAAAAAACAATGTGTCCTGCCCCGATCGTCCGCTCCTTCCGCGTGTCACGCCCCCTCGTTAACTCCATGTGGAATCCCCGAGTGATCAGCTGTTTCTGGCTGTTGTCATTAGTCCTCTGTATTAGTCCAGTTCAGTCATTGTATTGTCTGTCTGCATTTTGCCTGCCTTACCTGTAATTAAACCCTGTATTCCCCGATACCCTGACGTCTGCGCCTTTGTCTCCGTTCCATCCCCACTCGGCATGACAATATTATTATAATTAAATGTATTCATGGTTTATTATTAATATTAAAATAATGAATAAGAAATCTTTATTTTTAAATGTATTTTATTATATAATAATAATTACTGTTACTGTCTATCATTGTCTAAATGTATTTTTACTGTCTAAATATTTGTATTCAGCTAGTGTAAACATGCACGATGCTATCACAGCGAATTCGAGGCTAAGACTGAAGCGTTACCCTTTATTTCCGCTGAGAGACGTGCCGCGTGACTCATCTTCCCGCGCATACAAGTTATCTTAGGTCGGCGTTCACGGTTTGACTTCTGAGATTCTTGATCGAGTTCTAGGTCATTTTTTTTCGAACTGGCTGGTTCGACTTTTAAGAAATTCGAGTTCTAATGAGTTTGAGAACTGAGGTACCACTGTACTGACACTTCAACAAATAAAAACAAGATGAAAATGTCAGGAAGAGATGCATTTCAAAGTGATCCAATCGGAAGTAGTATCTTTAGTTAGTGTTGCCTGTAGTTGCACACGATTGGACAACACTGATCTAACTGGCTTCAAGCCAGTGAACCGAGCTATTCTGTCTCTAAATTCTGTTTGTAAACTCATTATTCCTGTGCTAGGCTTGGGCAACATTTATCGTCGGGGACCATATAATCACTAGACTGTATGAAATGTTGGATTTCACCCAAGCCTAGTCTATGCCACGATAGGCTTCAGGCAAAGGAAAAAAAAACATACTGACATATGGATAAATTTCACATGTGATGTGAAAGAAAAGCCAAATGCAAGCTGTGAGGAGCAATAATAATGAAGATAAACATCACAAACCTGACACACGATTAAATGAGTAGAAAGAAATAGTTGATTTTTCTTTTAATGTGTTTGAAATGTTCAGTCAGGAACTGAACTAAGTGTTGCAATAAGCACAACCCAATTGGTTTTTTTCCACTAGTATGATACTTGATTACTTTTTTTAAGAGAGAAGTGAGGGACTACAGTCTACAAAACAGACTACAGTCTACAAAATAGAGGACTGACTCACCTTCCTCCTCCTCCTCATCCTCTGTGCCTTCAGAGTCTGCTTCAAAGTTGTCACTTGCTGCTCCTGGCTTCCAGACAATTCCTGCTTAAGAACAAGGGAGCAGAGAACAAAAAGTAAAATAAAAAATAGAAAATAAAAACTGCACTTCAGTGCGAGTATATCCACAAGATAAAAACCTGTACTTATCAACAACTGTACTGTGACTTAAAAATCAATATCATAAAAAAACATCTGGGCGAAAATGTTCTGGAAAACATATTAATCAGGACCATTTGGAAGAAAGATTTAAATTTCAAATACAGATAGTCAGAGTTAATTAAATTAAGAAATATGCATTATTTCCGATCCTCACTGGCAAACCTTCCCCAAGCACCCCAGACTGCATAATAAATCTCATACTGCTGACATCATACATAACAAAAATATGACGGAAGTTGGATTTAAAAAATGTATTTGACCTGAACTACCTCGTCTGTACTCACCCTGTCCGCACGGGTTTTCTAGCAAATTCTCAAATATGCACTTGGCATCATACTTATAGAATATTGCACGGCACGTTCACACTTTTCCACACAAAAGGACGGCTGGAGGAGGCCCTTGTCATCGTCAGGAAAATCGCAACCGGCCACTCCGCGGTTTCACAGCGACTCACCTCCACCTCCGTCCGTCCCCTGTCCCTGCTCATCTCCATTTCCGTGGTGACCAGAGCCTGTAATGCACACCGAAGTCAGGCACGGAGCGCTTCGCTTTGACTGATCCGGCGCGGCTTCCGACAATTCCGGCACGTGAACCTGCGCGCGCGCGCGCTACCCTGCATGACCTGCGCAGACTTGTTGAATCAAAGCCTCCGTCCTCTGCTCACCTGCTCACTGAAATACCTCAACTTATTCTCTCTGGGTCCCGTGTCTGTGCCATTCTCTGCATGCAAGTGCCTTTCTCTGTAACATGCATTGCAAACTTCATGATGATGTTATGATTTATTAGAAGAAGTTATATGTTTTTTAAAAGTATTGATTTATTTATTTGCATTTTTTCAAATGCTAAATTATGAAACAAATTATCTTTCATTTCTTGCGTGGGCTGAGGTGTTTAGTAGTAGGACAATTCAATTCAGTTAATTTTCATATAGCGGTTTCCGCAAGAGTCGCCCCAAGGCGCTTTACATGGATGTGATACATTACACAATGATTAAGACAGAATAATACAAAAACAGGGAAAATTGAACACAAAGAAAAAATGCCAGATGATAAAACGATAAGATTAATTGTGGAGATTAGGCTGAGGGCGTTTCCTGTTTATCCAGGGATTTACATCAAATGGCCTTATCTAGCAGCGAACATGGAAGGTGTGGCAATATTTTATACAACTATGAGCAAATCACGGCATCTTCCTTGAAGTCCAGACGCTTTACCTGCGTATCCACGTCGTCTTTGCTTTTAGCCAAAGATTCCTGCAAAGCTCTCCGCTTCTTCCTAATTTTCTCCCGAAGATCGCTGGAAAAGGACAGTTTTGTCAATTTGATCATTTTCAAGCAAAACGAATGAATGCGATTGTGCTATTTGTTGCATGTGATTTGATTTGTTGAGCAAATCAACATACGTCAAACGATGCAGGGCTTTGTGCAACCAGCCAAGGGCCACAAAAGCATTATTTGTAATTTCTGAAAATCGTTTAAGCTAGTCCTGTCGTACAAAATGATTCTCAAAATACGATGCCACCTACCTTGGCGAAGCCATTATATGAGGGGATGTATGAAAGGCTCAGAACTAATGCTTGAACTACTTGAGGCAAGTTGAACTTAAAGTAAGTTACGCGACATGAATTCCATCCCCATTCAATTCGCTTTTCTTTTGGCTAAACACGGTGGGACCAGCAATCCGACAACAATCAATAAGGGAAGTAAAACTCCAATATCTAAATTACAGAGTATAACCGAATGGTTCACCCGCCGGCGAGATTATATTTTATAGCTAGATCACTATGCAGTGTAGCGGCTCGGACATCCTGTAAATCAGAAGTTCAAGTAAAAAACAACTTAAATTTCCTTATCTGCCCACTAAAGGCGCAAACATAATGCGGCTGTTTTTTATTCGTTACTGTAAATTCGGCAATCCGAGGACGCCAGCTTCGGCTGCTTAGTAACGAGAGGAACGCCAGCCCGACCGCGCATGATCCGAGGCGGCGGGACCAGTGATGCGGCCACCTCCTCTCCTCATTCAAGCGGCCGCGTGCCAATCACGGTGCTCTACTGACGTAACCCCCCCCTTCTACGGTGGCTCAGAGTACAGCGTACTCCAAGAACAAACACCGTTATTTCCCACACTCATATTGTCGCATATACAGTTATATCAAGGGTGCCTTCCTAAAGCTTACATCCAATACAACGCATTAAAGTTAAAAACGTAAAACTCATTTGACATTTATTTTAACGGGGGATATAGGCAAACACAGCTAGTGCACAACAACTCAAACACAATCAGGTCAACCCTTAGCAAAAAGTAGTATACTTCAAAGTTCATGTTATTAAGTATGCTTGAGTATAAGTATAGCAAGTATACTACAGACCATGTCCTTGTAATGTACTAGAAAGTATACCAATTCAATACTTCTTCGGACTAAATTGGAACATTTTCAAGTTTATAAAAGTATACTTTAATTATACTTTAGATCAAGATCAAGACTCTTTATTTGTCACATGTAGTTATAGCTGGTACAACATACAGTGAAATGAGTTTCCCTGGTTGAAAAAAGTACTCTCCGACTGTGCTAGACATACCAAAAAATGAGAGGTAAGAAATAAGTACTCAACAGAGGATAAGTATAAAATAAGAGAGAAAAAATTACCAGTGCAAAAAAGACAAGGTAATAAGTACTAACAGAGGATAAGTATAAAATAAGAGGAAAAGGTCATTTTAATTTTACAAAAGTATACTTTAAAGTATACAAGTACACTCATCTATATACTACTAGTGTACTAGGTATATACTTCTAGTCCACATTTTAGTTTATTGAAGTACACTTTAAGTGTACTTTTATGAACTTAAAATTACTAAAACTAAAAAATAAATTCTTTTGCTATTTTACATGTTGTTATACTTTAAGTATACTTGTAAATGGACTGCATTTATATATCACTTCTCTACTCCTACGAGTACTCAAAGCACTCATGCCTCACATTCACCCATCGGTGGAGGAGGCTGCCATGCAAGGCACCAACCTGCACACCGGGAGCAATTTGGGGTTCAGTGTCTTGCTCAAGGACACTTTGATGGGGTCAGGAGGAACCAGGGCTCAAACCTGCAACCCTCTTGTTGTCGAACGATAGCGCTACCTCTTGCACCCCCATCTCAAGTCAAGTATACTTCACTATACTATTCTTAAGTATATAAAATATAGTATATAAGAAGTAAACTTCAAGTATACTGTCTCAATTTTAGTATAAAATAAGTATACTCGTAGTACACTTGTATAAAATTTTTGCTAAGGGAACATACTTACTGTAGTCCTCTTGCAAGGGCGTTGGGAGGAAAAAAAACTAAGCAATATATCATTCTGCATAAGCAAATTAGTCACAGGCGTCAAAGTTGGATTCATTCATGCTGCTGCAAGGCCTAAATACCTACTGGCAATGGATTCAGAATCAGTTTGCAAATCTGTGAGACTACCTGAATATTTATCAAATACGATTAAAAATGATTTCACACACTTTCTTATGATTCACAAAATCATAAAGCCATAAAAGCTATACTTGATAATTAGGTTACTGCAATCTGCAATATGTTGCACTAGTAAGTGGTTGAAAGACAAATGGAAGACATATTTGTGAAAAACAATAACACTTATTGGTTACACCGCTAGTTATTAGTTACACCCCTTTGGGCAGTGCTGGACGAGTGGGTATATGGGCTGAATTTGTTGTGCCCATGTCCCCCCCCCCCGACCCAATCTTCAAAATGAATCATGGGGGAGCCCTGCCTCAAAAACTGTTTTAAATAATTATGTTACTATGATGTGCTACACTGGTAAGTGGTTGAAAGACGAATGATATATTTGTGAAAATGAATAACACATGCTGCATATTGCAATAAATGAACAGATGCATTTGTCAAGTGATGTCAATACTTTTTAATATATGCTCTTTGTATAGTTATAAATAAAAATCCATTTTTAAAGTGTTATGAAAAAGTGTACATGTGGTTTTTGCATTTCACGTTTCTGACTTTATGATCGTCATTATCAAGAATGAAAAAAGTTGTACAGAAAATTTCAATATTTCTGCACATTTCTAGAAAACATCAAGAAACAAATGTATGCACAGGGGTGTGTGTATGTACCATTGATTGCTTGACAGTACACTATGATCCCACCCACTGGATTTCAAAAGTTAAAATATTATTCATATACAAGGATGTAGGAGGATGTTTGATGTTGGGGGGTGTGGGGGCACAACCTACCCTGTGATATGACTTACAGTGTAGCCCTGCTCATCTTTGGTTTTCAAGCTTCTTTTGTCCCATTACTAGCTGTTACCTCACATTATTAGTGAGATTTGCTGTGAGCTCAGTTTAATCTCACAAAATGGAATATTCAATCCATGGGGCATTCTGTTATGCAGCATTACTGTAAAGGGGAAAGCTGATAGGCTTACATATAGCTTAATTTGGCATATGTTTAACCATCGTGGTTAATGCTACATTTCATATATACGTCTGCCAGTCTTTCTGTTCATAAGATGAACAGCTAAGAGTCACCCATAAGTCCCAACCCATAATCCTTTGTTACGCATAGTCCTCCGACAGCATATCCAAATAATTTGTGTCAGCATACAGAAGGAATCCGGAGAACAGGCTGTCAGACCAGCTGGGGTCGGAGAACAATCCATTCTGGTCTGTGTAGAAGATCTCCAACCATACCTCATCCTCTGGGTTGAGCTGCATGACTGTGGAGCCAGAGGCTACATCATGGTTGCCTGTGTTGGCGTCATATGTCTTGATGCGGTACTGGCCATTGTGCACGAGGCTGATGGCCAGGTGCTTGTTGGCAAGGGTGATGTCATAGGAGAAGTAGTAGGTTCCTGGGTAGGCACAGATGAACTTTCCAGACTGTGTGTTGTAGTGGCTGCCCTCATTAAACAGGACCTTGTTAAAGCGGATGGGCGTACGCTCCACCGGGTAGCTAGTAGTGATGCCCACAGAAAAGGCTACTTTGGGTACCAGGCTGCCACAACGGCAGATGCCCTGTTTGCCCTGAGCTCCCCGTTGACCCTTATCTCCCTTATGCCCGGGGGGGCCCATGGGGCCCGGTGGGCCCTTGTCCCCATCCATGCCACTGGGGCCTCTCTTCCCCATCGGGCCTTGATCACCACGCTCACCCATCTTGCCCATGGGACCTGCTTTGCCTTTTACACCTGGAAAAGAACAGCCCATTACTCTCATACTACAGTTCCCATGATTCCCCTGGGTTGGAAAAACATAATGATGCATGCCATTGTCTTGTTTGTGTCTCATTAAATCAGTCACACACAGTACTGTCCAACCTCTATCCTTCGACATAAACATACAGTCCTCTTCTTTAGACTAAGTTTTATTAGGGCTCTATTAAGAGTTTTTAGGTCAAATTCACATATTGTTTTACTCTAAAGCAGGAGTGTCGAACTCCAGTCCTGGGGGGCTGGAACCCTGCACATTTTTGGGTTTCCCCTCATTTAATACACCTGATTCAACTCCTTGCAACTCCTTGTGCTAATTGCCACACAGCTCTTGCGCTGAACCCTTTGTGGTGGAACAGTGAAAGAACTCAGCAACATAGGGCTCTGGCCCCCCAGGACTGGAGTGTGACACCTCTACTCTAAAGTAATGTAGTTAATTAGTACAAATAGAAAAGAAACTATTAACCAGTCACCAGTAAAAAACAGACGGTGACAACTAAAAGTCATTGTGCATGAATAACATTAATGAGAAAATGCTGGGCAAACAATAATACATCTTACACCAAGAATGAGTCATGGGCAAATGTGGTCAGAGATGGCGTCGTTGAGATAGAAGACACGTATATGTGTTAATGGGAAACAGATCCAACAGGGTACGATAGTTTTCCATATTATATGGTATGCTTAATGTCCCACAGCTGCATAGATCATTCATCTTAGAGTGGGGCGTGTCATTTGGGTCTCCATAGCAACAACCTGGCAGCCTCCTTAGATTTGACCTGGTTTGCCCTTAAGTCATCTGTTCCTTTTTAACTGCTAAGTTAGCTGATACCTGCAGACCAGGTTAGTGTCCATATAGCCCCTCTTCGGAAGTTTTTATAAATAGTGAAAAGCGCAGTACAAAGTCATGCACCTTTCCTACAGCTCCCCCTGGTGGGCATCCCCTAGTGAACACCCCTCATTTAGCAGGCTGTGTAAGTGCTGTAAAACACAGATGCAGTGTGGCTGGGGAGGACAGCGAAGCTCCACAGAGCCAGAGGGACCAGAAATAGGACTCCCCAGCAGTGATCAAAACAGCTGCTGTTCATGTTTTCAAATTTACCCCATGTATTAGAAAACAGAGGGAAACAAAATGTATAGTAACCATGGAAACCCCAGAATGTCTCAGTAATCAAGGTTACTTCTTATTCCATTCATGCCCAGCTGACTTCACCTGTTCCATGATGTGCTGTGACTCAACTAACATAACACAAATCAAATGGGAATAGTACTATCCCTTAAAGTGGAGTTTCATGTATACGGCAGAATTAATTATATTAAATACTATATTAACATAAAAATGTAAAGTAACAGAATGATTAGCATATCAATGTGACAGAGTTGCTGCCATATTATATTACAGCCATGTCCATGCTAACATATTCTACCGCAGTACTAATAATAGTGTGGAAATAATGTACATGTTGCAGTACCTGTGTCCCCATTGTCGCCCTTCTCGCCCTTCCTGCCATCTCTCCCATCTCGCCCTGGGATGCCGATGAGTCCCTCTGCACCAGGAGCCCCGCTGGGCCCCGGCTTGCCCGGAGTCCCCGGCAGCCCAGGAACGCTGCAGACGAGCTGTGGTAGGACCCTTTTGACTCTGGTCTCCGGAAACTGCCCCCCAACACAGTGGCACAGACTGAGGCCGAGTGCAACCATCAGCAGCCACATCATGAGGTCTGCAGGGGGGGGGGGTGAGAGACCATCTACCCTTTCAACTGATTTATTTCAGGGTGAGACACCACATGAAGTGATTATCCATCCAACTAATGACCTCAATCAAGTGATTGAGTCCAGGTGCAGAGCTAAAAACAATAAATAGCTAATAAAATAGCACTTTTCACACCCCTGTGGTGCACAAATATTATGACTGCACTTCTGCCTTAATGAGGAAAGCGCCATTGATTTGATACATCACGCTGGAAATTATTTTCACTGACTGAGGAGATTCCACCGACTAAAGCTAGGGTTCTTTTTTATAAACAATCACAATCCCACAGAGAAAGCACAGAGCTGCAGAAATCCATATCTGACAGCCAGATGTTCTGTGAGAACCCCTCGAATATTGGAGAATGTTGCTGACGTTAACCTTTTGTACTAGCAGAAAAGCTGAAATAATACCGGACCGAAAGTGACATAAGGAGGCACTGGGGAAAGAAGTGTGAAATCAGAAGAATCAAAACCGTTTTAGCTTTCAGTCAAACTGCAGGAATGGATAAAACTAGGCTCTTTAGTGATTAACACAAGAATGCCCTCTAACTCTCAAGCCGGTATAGGTACACGCATTTAATGTTGTGATCTCATCCAGATCACCTACAGATGTGCAATGTGCAGGCTAAACGTTATAATATAGATCTATTGTTTTTTTCATTATGCAGCAAAGGGTCACAACGACTGGGATTTATAGAGGAAGCAAAGGGCACAGGCAAAGAACACGCTAGATGGGATGCGAGAAACTGAAATATCAGATAAACAATTACATTATTATAACATTAACGTACAAAATACAAACATGTTAATTCACGAACAATTTTCAGATCTGTGGACCATCTCTATGCGCAACTTTTGCCGAAACTTTTGTATTAAATCAGTAACATGCTCAGCAGAAGCACGTGTTTCAGGTAAGTTCCTCTCCTAACGCCTTCTTATGTCACAAATAAACCAAAATAAACCACAACAATTAAAAGGGTAAAACATCTCAAAATTATGTCCTGCATAAAAACCGGTTTAAGTAGCATAGACACTGTATTAATCATAATACATACCACACATCTCTTGTGCAAAGGTCCCCGCGCATCCAGCCAGATTTTGTTACACAACAGGACACGCTTCTCGCCGATTCGTTTGCCTTGCTGGCTCATAATGTCTAGCCGTCTTCGATAATGGGAGATACGTCATGCTCCGCAGCTTCTCGTTTAGTGTCTCTTCAGTGTGTCCCGTTTCGGAGAAATGAACGAGATTTCCATCCTCCCGTCCTGTTAAGCCTCCACCCCCACTGTTGTTGACCGGCAGCAAAGCAAGGTGCGAAATTAGCTCTATTGGAGTGCATACTTAAGCAATAAGATAGCAGCAGCTATATGATATATAGGCTACGTGTATTTTCAGAATAGCCTTTTCATGAAATCTGAAAAACAGCGCATACGCGGAAGACGCTGCCTTATAGCGGTACGCGTTAGTACCTCGCGCAATGGCGATATAAAATGGACTCCTTGGACTTGACCGAAGGCGCACAGAATGTTGTTTTTTATTGCTCAAGAATAATTAGCAAAGCCAATAAGGGTGCGTAATAAATAACTCGCCCAATAAATAACTGAAAAGATTTACAACTAAAGGCTTTTTAGATCTTTTTCATATTTTCCAGATATCCGGCAAACTGTGGCTTATTAAAACAGCGCCAAGGGCCACTTCGTTGAGCAACGTGTCAAGAAATGACTCACTAGGCTTATATCTGGGAATACAACGATGTGTTTTAAATCATATTGTGCCAGATCTTTATGTGTGCATGGGGCATCTTTCTGAAAAAACTCCGCAAATAGGCATAAAAGTAAACGATAATCCTAAATTGAACAAGAAAGTTAATAATTATAGATACGCTAAAGAAAAGTGGCCTTCTATCCCCAGTATTGCAGTTGATCCCTATTAAAGTATCTTGTTTTTAAGGTGCCAATCAAACATTTCTGACTTTTTTTCTATATTAACATGCCATTTTACACTAATTTATTCAATTTATTCATTTGGTGCTCAGCCCTTACAGAGATATCTATAAAACATGCAGGCCTATAGCTGTATTATCAGATGAAGACATATACTGTATACTTATAAAACATGTATGACTTTTCCATTTGAAATTACTTTTGAAAAATCAAAAACCCTGTAACACCGATACATTTATGTAACAAAATCACAAAAATCAATCGTTTTTCATGTATTGTTTGCCACCTTTCTATATGGTGGTGGCAAAATTTTTTTTATTTGTTTTTTTTTGATCAGAAGGTGTGTTTTGTATTGCAATACGATTGGTGTGAGGCATATGATTTTAATAATAAAAGGAGACAGGTCTTTATAAAAAGGAGCACTAACGATAACGCACTAACGATAACGCATGCACTACACAGAAAACATTACGAGGGAACAAAACTTACTATTTTCAACATGAAATGCAGGACTGCACACATTGAATAATATATTTATATTAATGATTGTCATTTCCGTAGATCTCCAAGGCCGCCCCCCCCCCCCTCATATTTTGCCCCCATATACATTTCCCAGCTGTGAACAGGTCACTGCCTGACACCTAGACTTGGGTTTTGTTAACCGTTAGGTCAAGTGTAATTAATTTAAAAAGTTTAGATGCAAATAAACTATTTTCTGGCTGGTCATGTACACGGGACTGGTATACAGGAAATTATCAGAAAATATTTCTTTCTAATCCTATCGAAGGTGAGAGTTTTATCCACATCGTATTAATGTTGCAATGTTTATTGACAGACGGACAGTATGTAAAACAGTTGTCTGTAAATAAATTGACTACAACTCAATCAGCCAAGGGCTGATCAATATAGTGAGAGTGATGGTATATTATTGGACTTCTGTACTAAACACAGTTTGTCCATAACAAACACCACATTTGAACATAACGATGTTCATACTGTAAGTGCACTTGGCACCAGATCACACCATGCTGCAGTTTGATGATTGATTTTATAATCATATTGTCGGATCTGCGTTTGCATGTTTTTGAAGAGAGGAACTGAACTGTCAACTGATCACCACCTGGTGGTGAGTTGGATCCGATGATGAGGAAAGATGCTGGATAGACCTAGAAGACCCAAACATATAGGGAGGGGTGCTGGGAGGTTCCAGTGCGGGAGATCTTCAACTCCGGCAAAACTTCTCCTGCATCCTGAGGGAGTAAGGGGACTTGGAGCCTGAATGGGCCATGTTCTGGGACTCCATAGCTGAGACGGTGGTGTGGAGCTGTGGCTGTAAGGTTGTTGGTGCCTGTCGTGGTGGCAATCCCCAAACCTGGTGGTGGACACCAGTGGTAAAGGAGCTGTCAGGCTGAAGAAGGAGGCCCTCCAAGCTTGGTTAGCTTGTGGGACTCCTGAGGCAGCTGACAGGTACTGGCAGACCAAGCGGAAAGTGGCTTTGGCGGTTGCTGAAGCCAAAACTCTGGTGTGGGAGGAGTTTGGTGAGGCCATGGAGAATGACTTTTAGTCGGCCTCGTGAACATTCTGGCAAACAGTCGGGCGACTCAGGATGGGGAAGCAGGGCTTTACTCATGCCGTTTACAGCAGGGATGGAGAACTGTTGACCTCAAAGGGGGATATAACCAGGGAGTGGAAGGATTGCCCTCTCCTGGTGGGAGATGAGGTACTGCTTCAAGTGGAGGAGTTTAAGTATCTTGCAGTCTTGTTCTCGAGTAAGCGGGAGATCGACAGGCAGATCGGTGCAGCATCGGCAGTAATGCAGATTCTGTACCATTCTGTGGCGGCAAATAGAGAACTGAGCTGAAAGGCAAAGCAATTGATTTACCGGTTGATCTATGTTTCTACCCCAATGTCATGATCACAAGCTTCAGGTAGTGACCGAAAGAATGAGATTGCAGATACAAGCGACAGAACAGCAAGGTGTGTGGGCTCAGCCTTAGAAATAGGGTGAAGGAGCTCGGACATTCAGGAGAGGCTCAAAGTAGAGCCACTGCTCCTCTGCATCGAAAAGAGACAGTTGAGGTGGTTCGAGCATCTATGTAGGACGCTTCCTGGACACATCCCTAGACATGTCCAACCGGGAGGAGGCCCCGGGACAGACCCAGGAGACACTGGAGAGATCATATCGCTCAGCTGGCCTGGGAACGCCTAGGCATTCCCCCGGAGGAGCTGGAGGAGGTGGCTGGTGAGAGGGAGGTCTGGGCATCCCTAGTTAGACTGTTGCCCCCGTGACCCGACCCAGGATAAGCGGCAGATAATTGATGGATGGATGGGTGGATGGATATAGTAAAATATCCTAAGGTCTGAAATGGAGTAAAGAAATAATGCATTGCATTCTCTTAGAATAGCCCATAATCAAATTAAATCAATTGCAAACTGAAATCTAGTTTTAAGAAATGAATCATACAAAAAATACTTAATTCATACATATAAATAATACACAAATCTGTGTATTCAGTGGGTTGCCAATTCTCCCATCTGACTGCTGCAATCCACTTCATTCCACTGCATTTTTCTGGTTCTGCTGGAAATTTATGAAATGTTAAAGCAGGTTTATGACCTCTCTAATGTCTCAGGCATATTTACTAAACGCATATCTGCTGCTTCTTCTGCATCGTAAGCTGATTCAACTCAATTCAGTTCAATTCAATTCTATTTGTACAACACTTTACTATCCTTCCCCAAAGCCCCCAGTGAGCAACCAGAGGTGACAGTGGCAAGGAAAAAATCCCTAGAAGGAAGAAACCTTGGGAGGAACCAGACTCCCAAGGTCCAAAGGGGGAGCCCATCCTCCAGGGGCCGGCAGAGGAAGTCAAATGAGCAAGATGGCAAAGTCCCAATTCACACAGTCACAATTTTAACATTCGTGTCTCAAAGGGGGGGGGGGCAGGCAGGTGATGGTGCTGCTTCTGATGGCAGGATGAGCAGTGGTACAGCAGCAGGGAAGGAAGGAGAGACGTCACAGGCAGACCGGCGGGCAGCCCGGAAGGACGTAGTAGAAGCATCTCAGGCAGCAGGGTAGGCAGGATATCTTGAGATTTTAGGTCTCCAGGCAGCACAGCCCAGGAGGGGAAGGGGAAATAAAAAGTGTTTTAGCCAAAGTAGAGGAGACTAGAGGCAGTGCAAACAGTTGGTGAGTGTAATATGTAACCTGCAGCACATGTGGCTATGGCAGCATAAGTAGGAGGGAGAGGCAGGTGGGACCGCAGGCTTGGGGAGTCCCTGAACGTCAGCAGTCCAATTCCACAAGGGGGTGTGAAGCTAGAGAGATAGCACTGACCGTTCAGCTCATCCAAGGCCAAGTAGTTACAATAATCATTCCCTCAGAACCTGCCCTGTGGCACCACAGCAAGATGAAATCTACACGCCATCCTCAAGACTGAATTAGTTTGTAAAACAATCATCTGAAAAGTCATGGAAACTCATGTTCTTTCACACCACATTCAAAAAAGTAAAAAAACATCCACAGAAAGAATGAATAAGGGGCTCACCATCCTCTTCAGAGAGCCCATTAAACGCAGTTTCGGAGCCTCATCTAGATGGGCTTGTGTATCACAATGGGGGTATTTACAGGTGCCTGCGAGACAGCGCAAGCCGATTTAAACTCAAATATTCATATAAATCATGTATTCAGCAGTAAGCAAAGGCTATTCCCTTAGCTTTTTGCACAGGACTGGTCCATTTATGACAAATGTTGTTTCAGTAACCATGGAAATATTGATTAGCACTTACTAATTTTGCTTGGGGATAGTAAAACAATTGAGAAGGTTCCACACATAATGAAATGAATGTACTAATAACCAGCTCCAGTTAGATACCCAGATAGCCACCAGGAAAGTAACAACTACAAATAACAAATTATGGTTTAACCAGCTGGTTATTGACAGATCCCAGACATCTTCCGTCTCTGGGCATCTTAAAGCAAAACTTATCCAGTCACCATTATTAAGATACCATAGTACATGTTTTACCTTTAATTTCAGTTAAAAGTGTTTTTAAATCTAAAGATTGCTTCACATTTTAAAAGTTATATAATGGTACTTTTTTGTGAAACACCTCTGAGTTACAAGAGCACAGCGCCTCTCAGGGTTTAAAATGTAAAATGTATTTGTCATGTAAGCCTTCACAAATATTCATGGATCTAGGCGGTGCAAACTTAAGAGAGAAATCTCGTAAATGTGTCCTGGAATTGTCTGAAATAAGAAGCAGCCAATTCCCTCAGTTTCACTGAAATTCTTCAGCTGAATCTATAACTCGAGTACTTAGACGATGTTTAATAAACACAGAATCCTTGGATTAAAAATCCGGATTTTTCTAAAATCTGGTGGAGCACAGACAGGGTGCAGGTCTCAGAGAACCATGCATGTTTCTGGGAAATTCGTTTTTTTGTGTTTATTGAATGTCAGTCTGAATAATAGCATTTTTATGTGTTGCTCTTGTACAATGTTTCTTTGTGTTATGTAAAAATGCATTTAGATGATCCTGTATTTAACTGCTGATAGAGTGTGGGAAGGTTTTTTAGCCCTTAGTTTGACTTTCTGCATGCACATGAAAAAACAAGATTTCAGCTATGTACGCATCTAAGGTCCACTGGAACCTTATTTGACACTATTTTGTTAGATATTGTGTCATGCCCCGATCGTCCGCTCCTCTCGTGTGCCACGCCCCCTCGTTAACCCCATGTGGATTCCCCGTGTTTACCAGTGTCCTGTGTCAGGAGCAGGTGAGCCGGGAAGTAGGCGAGAGGAGCTGGATGAATGGGTAAACAAGGTTTTAATTGATACGAAAAGGCAGACATTCACTAACACGCATAACAATACATCAATGACGAATCTGGCAAGACTGACTGAGACTAGGACTAAATACATAAGACAAGGCAAACGGAATAGGGAACAGGTG